AAATTTCAACTTTCTCCTCATTTTAGTTTTTGAGTGAAAAAATTGTTTGTAAAGTCTTACTTTACAAAACATCATTATTTTCAAAAAATCGTAACTCCATTAATAATAACTCAATCGCTTTGAGTTTTTGGTATTTTTTACAATAAATCATTAGGAAAAAGTCTTCAAAATTTCAACTTTCTCCTCATTTTAGTTTTTGAGTGAAAAAATTGTTTGTAAAGTCTTACTTTACAAAACATCATTATTTTCAAAAAATCGTAACTCCATTAATAATAACTCAATCGCTTTGAGTTTTTGGTATTTTTTACAATAAATCATTAGGAAAAAGTCTTCAAAATTTCAACTTTCTCCTCATTTTAGTTTTTGAGTGAAAAAATTGTTTGTAAAGTCTTACTTTACAAAAAATCATTATTTTCAAAAAATCGTAACTCCATTAATAATAACTCAATCGCTTTGAGTTTTTGGTATTTTTTACAATAAATCATTAGGAAAAAGTCTTCAAAATTTCAACTTTCTCCTCATTTTAGTTTTTGAGTGAAAAAATTGTTTGTAAAGTCTTACTTTACAAAAAATCATTATTTTCAAAAAATCGTAACTCCATTAATAATAACTCAATCGCTTTGAGTTTTTGGTATTTTTTACAATAAATCATTAGGAAAAAGTCTTCAAAATTTCAACTTTCTCCTCATTTTAGTTTTTGAGTGAAAAAATTGTTTGTAAAGTCTTACTTTACAAAAAATCATTATTTTCAAAAAATCGTAACTCCATTAATAATAACTCAATCGCTTTGAGTTTTTGGTATTTTTTACAATAAATCATTAGGAAAAAGTCTTCAAAATTTCAACTTTCTCCTCATTTTAGTTTTTGAGTGAAAAAATTGTTTGTAAAGTCTTACTTTACAAAACATCATTATTTTCAAATAATTGTAACTCCATTAATAATAACTGAATCGCTTTGAGTTTTTGGTATTTTTTACAATAAATCATTAGGAAAAAGTCTTCAAAATTTCAACTTTCTCCTCATTTTAGTTTTTGAGTGAAAAAATTGTTTGTAAAGTCTTACTTTACAAAAAATCATTATTTTCAAAAAATCGTAACTCCATTAATAATAACTCAATCGCTTTGAGTTTTTGGTATTTTTTACAATAAATCATTAGGAAAAAGTCTTCAAAATTTCAACTTTCTCCTCATTTTAGTTTTTGAGTGAAAAAATTGTTTGTAAAGTCTTACTTTACAAAAAATCATTATTTTCAAAAAATCGTAACTCCATTAATAATAACTCAATCGCTTTGAGTTTTTGGTATTTTTTACAATAAATCATTAGGAAAAAGTCTTCAAAATTTCAACTTTCTCCTCATTTTAGTTTTTGAGTGAAAAAATTGTTTGTAAAGTCTTACTTTACAAAAAATCATTATTTTCAAAAAATCGTAACTCCATTAATAATAACTCAATCGCTTTGAGTTTTTGGTATTTTTTACAATAAATCATTAGGAAAAAGTCTTCAAAATTTCAACTTTCTCCTCATTTTAGTTTTTGAGTGAAAAAATTGTTTGTAAAGTCTTACTTTACAAAACATCATTATTTTCAAATAATTGTAACTCCATTAATAATAACTGAATCGCTTTGAGTTTTTGGTATTTTTTACAATAAATCATTAGGAAAAAGTCTTCAAAATTTCAACTTTCTCCTCATTTTAGTTTTTGAGTGAAAAAATTGTTTGTAAAGTCTTACTTTACAAAAAATCATTATTTTCAAAAAATCGTAACTCCATTAATAATAACTCAATCGCTTTGAGTTTTTGGTATTTTTTACAATAAATCATTAGGAAAAAGTCTTCAAAATTTCAACTTTCTCCTCATTTTAGTTTTTGAGTGAAAAAATTGTTTGTAAAGTCTTACTTTACAAAAAATCATTATTTTCAAAAAATCGTAACTCCATTAATAATAACTCAATCGCTTTGAGTTTTTGGTATTTTTTACAATAAATCATTAGGAAAAAGTCTTCAAAATTTCAACTTTCTCCTCATTTTAGTTTTTGAGTGAAAAAATTGTTTGTAAAGTCTTACTTTACAAAAAATCATTATTTTCAAAAAATCGTAACTCCATTAATAATAACTCAATCGCTTTGAGTTTTTGGTATTTTTTACAATAAATCATTAGGAAAAAGTCTTCAAAATTTCAACTTTCTCCTCATTTTAGTTTTTGAGTGAAAAAATTGTTTGTAAAGTCTTACTTTACAAAACATCATTATTTTCAAATAATTGTAACTCCATTAATAATAACTGAATCGCTTTGAGTTTTTGGTATTTTTTACAATAAATCATTAGGAAAAAGTCTTCAAAATTTCAACTTTCTCCTCATTTTAGTTTTTGAGTGAAAAAATTGTTTGTAAAGTCTTACTTTACAAAAAATCATTATTTTCAAAAAATCGTAACTCCATTAATAATAACTCAATCGCTTTGAGTTTTTGGTATTTTTTACAATAAATCATTAGGAAAAAGTCCTTAAAATTTCAACTTTCCACTCACTTTAGTTTTTGAGTGAAAAAATTGTTTGTAAAGTCTTACTTTACAAAACATCATTATTTTCAAATAATTGTAACTCCATTAATAATAACTCAATCGCTTTGAGTTTCTGGTATTTTTTACATTAATTCATTAGAAAAAAAGTCCTCAAATTTTCAACTTTCCACTCACTTTAGTTTTTGAGTGAAAAAATTGTTTTTAAAATCTTACTTTACAAAACATCATTATTTTCAAATTATTGTAACTCTATTAATAATAACTCAATCGCTTTGAGTTTTTGGTATTTTTCACATTAATTCATTAGCAAAAAGTCCTCAAATTTTCAACTTTTCACTCACGTTAGTTTTTGAGTGAAAAAATTGTTGTAAAGTCTTACTTTACAAAACATCATTATTTTCAAAAAATCGTAACTCCATTAATAATAACTCAATCGCTTTGAGTTTTTGGTATTTTTTACAATAAATCATTAGGAAAAAGTCTTCAAAATTTCAACTTTCTCCTCATTTTAGTTTTTGAGTGAAAAAATTGTTTGTAAAGTCTTACTTTACAAAACATCATTATTTTCAAAAAATCGTAACTCCATTAATAATAACTCAATCGCTTTGAGTTTTTGGTATTTCTTACAATAAATCATTAAGAAAAAGTCTTCAAAATTTCAACTTTCTCTTCATTTTAGTTTTTGAGTGAAAAAATTGTTTGTAAAGTCTTACTTTACAAAACATCATTATTTTCAAAAAATCGTAACTCCATTAATAATAACTCAATCGCTTTGAGTTTTTGGTATTTTTTACAATAAATCATTAGGAAAAAGTCTTCAAAATTTCAACTTTCTCCTCATTTTAGTTTTTGAGTGAAAAAATTGTTTGTAAAGTCTTACTTTACAAAACATCATTATTTTCAAAAAATCGTAACTCCATTAATAATAACTCAATCGCTTTGAGTTTTTGGTATTTCTTACAATAAATCATTAAGAAAAAGTCTTCAAAATTTCAACTTTCTCTTCATTTTAGTTTTTGAGTGAAAAAATTGTTTGTAAAGTCTTACTTTACAAAACATCATTATTTTCAAAAAATCGTAACTCCATTAATAATAACTCAATCGCTTTGAGTTTTTGGTATTTCTTACAATAAATCATTAAGAAAAAGTCTTCAAAATTTCAACTTTCTCCTCATTTTAGTTTTTGAGTGAAAAAATTGTTTGTAAAGTCTTACTTTACAAAAAATCATTATTTTCAAAAAATCGTAACTCCATTAATAATAACTCAATCGCTTTGAGTTTTTGGTATTTTTTACAATAAATCATTAGGAAAAAGTCCTTAAAATTTCAACTTTCCACTCACTTTAGTTTTTGAGTGAAAAAATTGTTTGTAAAGTCTTACTTTACAAAACATCATTATTTTCAAATAATTGTAACTCCATTAATAATAACTCAATCGCTTTGAGTTTCTGGTATTTTTTACATTAATTCATTAGAAAAAAAGTCCTCAAATTTTCAACTTTCCACTCACTTTAGTTTTTGAGTGAAAAAATTGTTTTTAAAATCTTACTTTACAAAACATCATTATTTTCAAATTATTGTAACTCTATTAATAATAACTCAATCGCTTTGAGTTTTTGGTATTTTTCACATTAATTCATTAGCAAAAAGTCCTCAAATTTTCAACTTTTCACTCACGTTAGTTTTTGAGTGAAAAAATTGTTGTAAAGTCTTACTTTACAAAACATCATTATTTTCAAAAAATCGTAACTCCATTAATAATAACTCAATCGCTTTGAATTCTTGGTATTTTTTACAATAAATCATTAGGAAAAAGTCTTCAAAATTTCAACTTTCTCCTCATTTTAGTTTTTGAGTGAAAAAATTGTTTGTAAAGTCTTACTTTACAAAAAATCATTATTTTCAAAAAATCGTAACTCCATTAATAATAACTCAATCGCTTTGAGTTTTTGGTATTTTTTACAATAAATCATTAGGAAAAAGTCCTTAAAATTTCAACTTTCCACTCACTTTAGTTTTTGAGTGAAAAAATTGTTTGTAAAGTCTTACTTTACAAAACATCATTATTTTCAAATAATTGTAACTCCATTAATAATAACTCAATCGCTTTGAGTTTCTGGTATTTTTTACATTAATTCATTAGAAAAAAAGTCCTCAAATTTTCAACTTTCCACTCACTTTAGTTTTTGAGTGAAAAAATTGTTTTTAAAATCTTACTTTACAAAACATCATTATTTTCAAATTATTGTAACTCTATTAATAATAACTCAATCGCTTTGAGTTTTTGGTATTTTTCACATTAATTCATTAGCAAAAAGTCCTCAAATTTTCAACTTTTCACTCACGTTAGTTTTTGAGTGAAAAAATTGTTGTAAAGTCTTACTTTACAAAACATCATTATTTTCAAAAAATCGTAACTCCATTAATAATAACTCAATCGCTTTGAATTCTTGGTATTTTTTGCATTAAAAATATTTTCATATAGGTATAATTTCTTTTATTTATTATTACAATGAAAAATTCCACATTGATAAATTACTTATCATTACTTAAGGGGCACAAATTTTAAAGGAATTCCTTTATCGGCTTGTAAAACAATGCTTCTGCTAGCAAATTTCATTGGTATCGGCGTGTTATCAGTTGCCTCTAGTTTGAATTTTTGTAAAATCGCTATCAAGCCCAATTTGACTACCAATAATCCAAACCTGATTCCTATAATATACAAAAAACTAGTTTAAGGAAAAACTATTCAGTAAAAAAACATACCAATGCATATTCTAGGACCTTCTCCAAAAGGCAAATAAGTTAAAGACTCTTTATTTAATCGGCTTTTATCTCTAAACCTTTCTGGATTGTATTTATGGGGATCTGGATAAATGTCTGGATTGTAATGGACACCAAATAGAGGTATATAAATTGGTATGCCTTTGTCTAAGATTATATCTGTTCCAGCTATTTTATAGGTTGAATCAGTTACTCTATCCAGAAATGGAACACTGGGATATTTGCGTAGAGTTTCTAAAAAAAATTTTTATGCATTAAAAAGGGTTTTTATATGAATCATTGTTTACCTGTTACGCACATGTCCAAATATTTCATCTCAGAAATACTCTCATATGTGATACTATTGTTGTGCTTTTTTGTAATTTCAAAAATTTCCTCTCTTAATTTTTCTTGTATCTCCTGATCCAAACAAAGTTCGTACAAAGTGAAACTCAAAATGGAACCAGTTGTTTCAAATCCTGCTAGGAAAAATTGAATGGCTTGTCCTAATAAAACATTTTCATCTAAAAGAAAATTCACTAATATTTTCAAAATATCGATGATAAGTGATGAATTACTTGCCAAATTCTGGTAAATTTTTGGTAGCTTCTATTAAAATATCGACTAAGTCGTTTCCTTCAAAGTTTCCCGAACTAAGTCTGCTGTTGTAAACTTCCAAAAATATTATTTTCAGTCGTGCAAGAGTATCATCGTCAATTACGGAAATATTGAACCACTGTACTATATTTGGAAACAGAAAACAAGTAAATTGCCTAATTGCTGTTGAATATCTATATAGAAAAAACTTATTAATTATAAGTAATGAGTTTTTAATGACAAACCTAAAATCAAAAATACGTCGTCCAAGTTTTCTAAATTCCGCTTGTTCACTTTCAAAAGATTTAGCATCAACACCAAAAGCACATTTGGCAATAACATTCGTGGAATACTTAGCACATATTTCCTTAGATTCAACATCACTCATATTAACCAATCCATCAATATAATCAATCATTGCAGTGGTTTCATTTAAAATGTGAGCAAACATTAACTTGATTTTGCCTGAGCTGAAAACTGGCGTCACATGACTCCTCACCATCTTCCATTTGGTATTTTTAGCGAAAAACAAATTACTAGACAAAACAAGGTTTTTCCTAGGAACTGAGGCTGATCTGTTTTGAAAATAGACAAAATCTTTTTGTAAAATTTGCTTGATCATTTTGGGCGATTGTACAACCAATACAGGTTGGTCTAGCACGTAGATTCCAAAGTAATCTTGGTTCGTTTCGCGACATTTGTCACAAAGCCATTCACCTAAGGTTTGTTGCATTTTTAAAGTAGGCCAAAGGTTACCCAAAAAGGGTATCGGTTTCAAAAAGGGGACGTTTCTTGTTTTCCAGTAATTGAAATTTCTTGTACAATAGGCATAAACTATTGCAACCAAAATAATAATAGTGTAAATCCACAACATCTATAATTAAATTTTACTTATTATTATTATTATTGTTATTGAAAAATTACTTACCCTTGTATCTTTGTTGCAAAGTCTGACTGAGGCGTTTAAATTTGGTATTAAGATAATTAATATTTTTGTGTTGTGTAAAATAAGTTAAGCTTGTTTTCATCATAATAACGAAAATGTTGATCTTTTTTTATATATTCAGGAACGGATTTGTTAATTAACAAAATTGATTTGGTTTAAATGGATCTTCTTGGAATTCCTTTAATCCTATTCTGATCAAGAATTTACAGTCAGTACGTTAAATTTCAAATATTTTTATGTTGAGATTTTGTGTCTAAATGATCACTTGGGTTCCCTAAACTCCATACACTAAAATATTCTGTGATTTGAAGCCAAAATCTATGAAAAAAGACACTCAGAAAATTGATAAATTTAGCAATTTATTCCAAACTGCTTAACGCAATTTTAATTCTGAAACTCTGAGTCCAAATTAGCTGAATTTTCCGGGATTGTAGTCCTCTACCGGGATATGAATCGCTGAAAATTTCAGCTTTCTATCTCTAACAGTACAGCAGATTAGCTAACCTATTGTGCACTTTTCAAAATCAAATTAAAAGGGGGTTCGAGTGACACAATTCTTTCCTAACTTTAACAAGCCCCCATTTCGGCAGGGTGAATATGTACCATCTGTGCAATAGTATTTGGGGTACTCGTAGTTGGCGGGTCTCCAGCGTTGGTGTTGCCTCCTGTCATCTTGAGTCTGGGTTTTACAAGGGACTGGTCAACGGATTCATTCTAGTCGAAACTTCTTTTTACAGCAATTGAGGGTCCCTGCTCGGGCGCCAATTTTGTAACGCCGATTTTTCCTATTCTTACTTTAACGGTTACCTCGGGCGCCACCCTCAGGATTATTGTGGTTGAGGGCCCACGTGCACCAGGTAGCTTATTACAGTGGAGATCAGGCATCGAATCAGATGCTGGAAGTTATTCCTTTCATCTTTTCTGTAAATCCTGCAGATAACTCCAAAAGAAGACACATGAATATAATATTAAGGTCTTGATGTCTTTATTGCAACAAATTTACAATGTTGGGTAAGGCAATTCCTATATTGAAATAAACATTCCCTAAGCAGAGTGAAAATGTTTATGTGTGCGTACTGTCTACAACTTTCAGTACCATTTGTACCCAAGACTAGGGTATAATGTCCATATTTTCATAAAAATATATATATATAGTATAACCACTGAGTTAGCCAGACTGGTTTTAATAATGAGTAGCAACTTATTTTTTCGAGAATATAAGTAATCTTATTAAAACTTTCTATCAAATGACGTATCGACCCCTCTTTTCTATTTGAAGTTTTGGGAGTACCTGTCGGCTGTCATCTTCGTTTAAAGGTTGAGAAGTAGGCAGTGGCGTAACTTCAAGATATTGGACCTGAGGGCAGAGTAGTTTGGCGAGGCCCAATTACAATATTGCATATATTCTGTTTGTCTTAAGGCCAAAATATGAACCGATTGGTAATGTCATTGGCAAATTCACCTTGTTCGTAAAGCTCAAAATTAAATTCAATTTACCAGCAGGATAAATTTGGCACGGACGTTACCAGTCGGTCCATAATAATTTGGTTCTAAGGCCTGGTTTATTCATCCTCTGATAAGTATCTGCATGATAAATTGACCGTTCTTTAATTCTGGTCGGCGGATAACTGGCCGACAAATGGGATTACAGATTGCGTTTATATCCGGCAGATTGCATACCTGACAGTTTATCAGGTGAATAAACCGGCCATAACTCATAAAACCCTGGAAATAATTATTTTACGAAATTCGTTTACCATCTTCCATGCTAACAGCTAACATTATTGATCGCGATTTTACTTTTTGCGGAATACCTACATTTTCGAAATAAATGTGGGTAGTAAATAGTCAGCAAAATTTTCAATGATTTTCGTATTTTCTTGATTACAATTAAGTTTCTTAAGACAATATTCTAAGAATCGTACGCATTATGTTTTTTGACTGTGAAATTATTTTTGTATGGAGTCCGAGAGCCTCTGGGCCCGCTGAGAAAACCTGGGTGGGAAGTTTTTCTTGCCTCGCCCTGTGCCTAAGGTGTCCCACGACGTTTCAACCAGGTGATAAATTCGGAACGCGTCTTCCAATATAATTGAAATTTTGAAAATCTGGTTAACTTTTGTGCCGCTCCTACTATTTCACTACTTTCGCTTCAGTTTCGGTCAGGTGGCGGCAACTTTAGAATCTTTAATATAACTGATGGTATTTTATCATTTTCCGTTAGAAAATTAAATTACCCAATGGGCAATGCCATATTGGTATTTTCACCTCCTACCTAAACCTGTCAACCCCTAAGCGGGGGTGACAGGTACCTCCAAAACTTCAAACTGAAAAGGGGGTCGAGTGATCCGTGATTTTTATCATATTATAATATAATACCACACACTATAAGTGCAAATGAGCTGAAATTTTCAGCGATTGTAGTCCTTTGAAAGGGATAAAATTTAGTGAAAGTTTCAGCTTTCTATCTATGATAGAAAAAAAGTTATGACCTTTCAAAATTTTCCAAAATCTAAATCATAAGGTAGGTACCTTCCTACTAAAACGATGAAATTTCAATTTTTTTTTTGTCAAGATTTTGTATCCTAATGGTCAATCAACATACCCCAAACTCCATACACTAAATTATTCTCAGATTTTAAGCCGAAATCTATGAAAAAAGGCACTCAGAAAAATTGAAAAATTGATAAATCACCTCAAATTGCTTAAAACGATTTTATCTCAGGAACTATAAGTGCAAAAGAGCTGAAATTTTCAGGGATTGTAGTCCTTTGAAAGGGATAAAATTCAGTGAAAATTTCAGTTTTCCATCTGTAATAGAAAAAAAGTTATGACCTTTCAAAATTTTCCAAAATCTAAATCATAAGGTAGGTATCTTCTCACTAAAACGATGAAATTTCAAATTTTTTAATGTCGAGATTTTGCATCCTAATGGTCAATCAACATACCCCAAACTCCATACACTAAATTATTCTTAGATTTGAAACCAAAGTCTATGAAAAAAGGCACTCAGAAAAATTGAAAAATTGATATATCACCCCAAATTGCTTAACACGATTTTATCTCAGGAACTATAAGTGCAAATGAGCTGAAATTTTCAGGGATTGTAGTCCTTTGAAAGGGATAAAATTCAGTGAAAATTTCAGCTTTTTATCTATAATAGAAAAAAAGTTATGACCTTTCAAAGTTTTCCAAAATCTAAATCATAAGGTAGGTAACTTCTTACTAAAACGATGAAATTTCAAATTTTTTATTGTCGAGATTTTGCATCCTAATGGTCAATCAACATACCCCAAACTCCATACACTAAATTATTCTTAGATTTGAAACCGAAGTCTATGAAAAAAGGCACTCAGAAAAATTGAAAAATTGATATATCACCCCAAATTGCTTAACACGATTTTATCTCAGGAACTATAAGTGCAAATGAGCTGAAATTTTCAGGGATTGTAGTCCTTTGAAAGGGATAAAATTCAGTGAAAATTTCAGTTTTCTATCTATAATAGAAAAAAAGTTATGACCTTTCAAAGTTTTCCAAAATCTAAATCATAAGGTAGGTATTATTCTTAGATTTGAAACCGAAGTCTATGAAAAAAGGCACTCAGAAAAATTAAAAAATTGATAAATCACCCCAAATTGCTTAACACGATTTTATCTCAGGAACTATAAGTGCAAATGAGCTGAAATTTTCAGGGATTGTAGTCCTTTGAAAGGGATAAAATTCAGTGAAAATTTCAGCTTTTTATCTATAATAGAAAAAAAGTTATGACCTTTCAAAGTTTTCCAAAATCTAAATCATAAGGTTACCTTAGTACTAAAATGATTTTTTTTATGTTGATATTTTGTGTCTAAATGATCATTTGGAACCTCTCAAACTCCATACACTAAATTTTTCTAAGATTTGAAGCTGAAATCTATGAAAAAAGACATTCAGAAATATTGAAATTGAAATAAAGCAACTCATTAGTGCCGTTCTACGACATCGAGGTATGTTTTGTTTCACATCTTTTTTAATTTCACTCCTATCTCAACGTAATTAGGCCTAAATTAGAGCTAATTGAATCCTCTATAAATCACAGATATAAAAGAAAAGGTCAGGCCAGGCTCCATGTTGTGACATATAAATTCAAAGTGGGTACCCTTAGAAAAAGTAAAAATTTTTATTTTTGGTTTTTTCCAAATTTTGATTTCAGCAATCGATATAGCAGAGTACCTATATTTAAATGTCGATTAGTAAAACCAAAAGTATAGATATAGATCGCCCTGGTACAAAAGCAGAAATGTTCTTCCATTAAGGGTACGTTTTGTTCATCCATCTTGCTTAATTATTCAAAACAACCCTAATTCCGATAGTTCGGTAAACTAGGGAAAAGAAGAGCGTGAGAAGTCATAAATGGCTTGAATGCACATCGCTATTTGTTCAAGTAATCTGTCCCAAAAGGCTGCACAAGGGCGATAAATCCAATATAAACTCCCTCCAATGTCAGAATCAGTGTTTGTCAATTGCCTACTTACCACTGACTGAGTCATTTTCTTCTAGGAGGGCTAGATTCAGCAATCGATATTTTATTTTAAAAGAAGAGAGCAATATAAAATCCAAATCCCAGCTGCAAATTTGCATTTCTCTGCAATATTGCATCCAGATTTAATACTTTCTAATATTCCCAGAGAGAGAGAGCTCGGGCTCGTGGTTTTATATATACGTTAGTTTTATGTGCGAATCTTTTCCGAAAACGACTCTCGATAGTGTCACATATAAAATAGGAAAGTTGACCGAAGGGAAATTTCATATTAGTATTCATGAGACAGATAAAGAAAATTTTCCGCAGAGTTGACTGATGGGGATTTTAAGGCAAACCCCCATCAAACGTAAACTAAAACCCAGACGAAAGAACACCTGGGGTTTTCCTGATGGCAACAAGGGGGGCTTCAAGAAGAATATGCTTACTTAGACTTGTGACATTTCACTCAAGACATCGTTCATCTTAGTTGGACTCAGCGTGTAATTGCGTGAAGCACATTTGTCTTTAGTACAAAAATGTTACAAGGAAAATCAGAACAAAGCAAGGTGCTTGTAAAGTG